CACTCTTTCCATATATCAAATTAACAAAACAATGTTAATTAACAACATTAATATTGTCACCGCATCAAGAATAAATGTTTATTAAGAATGTTAAAATGCTAAATTATATGAATTTAATTTTACCTTAATAGACTTGTTGATACGAGTACCATCAGAATGAATAATGTTTTCTCCGTATGCAGGTGAATGTTTGAAAACTGCACCAACTACAAGTTTATCATCAGTCATCTTATGAACGGTGTAGGCGTGATAATTGTTCTCGAGATTAAACTTTGAAATCTGAACTTTAAAAACAAACTTCCTATTAAGCATCGTATTGAACTCACCGGGGATCTTTTGGCGTCCTTGATCCTAAAGAATATTATAATAAAACATGTGAGTAGTTAATAAATCCCGATTAAAAATAAAATGCCATAACAATATACAGTTAACTTGTCGTGTGTACAAATTAAGAATAGTATAATATAACGCTACCTTTGATATCTTTTCCATCAACCAATGATTACCGCGGTGAATAAGATCTTTAACATGGCGGTCAAACAATATAAAAGAAACAAACCCAGTTTCATCTTGAACACATATTATGACCTTTACCCTAAATATTATTGTATGACACGTTAATGGACAATGAAATAAAAATTGAAACATTGTATTAAAGATTCATGAGACAAGAAGTTTACAAATGTAAAAATTATGAACTTACTTGCCGAATACATCAGAAACTCCTCCGCAACCATTACAATTAAATGTTTCACCATCACTAATCATCACCATTTTTAGTACATTTTTGAACAGTCACGACAATAAAAAGAATACCATCCTTCCTCCAAATCGAAACCGATTATAGTAGCAATGATAGACAAACCAATTTCATGATTGGTAAAATCATATATATATATATATATATATATCTATATATATATTATATATATATACACACACACCACACACATACATTAAAAAATTGTTCTATATAACGGAAATAATGCTAATATTAAGTATACCTCATTGTAATCTGGAATATCATCAATGTTTTTGATTTGAAAACGAATGAAGTAATCTTCTGGCTTTGCCACAATAGTTTTTGTGTTAATAGTTTTTGTGTTAAGTTATGTAGTATTAATGGAAGACTCAACATTCAAATCGATATCAGCAATGCTACATATAAGAAGGAAAAATGAAGAATATCAACACATATTAATAATTATTGATTAAGAATAAGTAAAAATAAAAACGTAAATAATTATCATAGTCATCAAATACATATGCCTTTTTAAATTCTGAAATATGATGCATATCATCATTAATATGCAATCTCGACCCAAATAAACAGTTACCGACTTGTGGCTGACCTATAAATAGCAATTGAAGTAATAGATTATTTCATACTATAAATAAAATATTAATGTAATGAGTATAGACATCTAAAAATAATTATTCTTACCACCCCACGTCTTGAGCTTTGTCATACGTAGGAGGATGATCACATGAGCATTTTCATTTTGATGCTCAGATATGTAGCTGTTCAACTTCAATGCAAAACCATCCCACAAAGCAACTTGCATTTTCCTACCACTATAATTGATTGTTTGGGTTATTGATAAAATATTAAACATGATAAATTAATGAAAAATAAATAAAAGTACCTCAGATCTTGTGCACACAATACTCATTAGCCTTGTTTCCCTTGCATTCCTCTTAATCACTCTCATGGGTTCAGTAGATAAACCTTGACCAATAAAATCTACAAAGTAAATTTGAATCAATTATTATAATATAAATTGGTTAAAAAAATATATAATATAGTAAATGCAAAACTGTTAAGGGAAAAAAAGCTCACCAAATGCAACACGAGTGTCAAAATTTCTGGCTGTCAGATCATGAAAACTCACAAAATTAAAAGGATCGATCCTATCAACAAAAGGAGTTGATACACGAATTGTGATTGTTTTGTAGAAATTTATCTTATGCTTGTGAGCAACCAACATGTAATCTCCTTCGTTTCTGGCCATACCAAAGTTAGTGATTTGCCTTACAGCTCCTTCTTCCAGGAGGGCTTGAAATGCATTTACGAGATTTTTTTATTGTTGCATGTATTCTAGTGCCCTGTAGGTGATAAAGAATATATTATATATGAAACAAAAATAAAACATAAGTTTTTTTCATATTATTTTAATTTTACCTCCTGGTCCATTAAAATCATGTCCAAGCTGCTGACCATGTTTGAGTTGTTTTTGTATGTCTGTTTCCAAATCATGACAATTTGAACACGAATATTCCATAATTCTTTGGAGGCATCTATGCCGGCCAACTTATCAATGACGATTTCACTGTCACTGTTATGTTTCATTTCGCTTGTGCTATGAGAAATAGAAAAGTATTAGAGATAATTATGATATATAGTGAAAAAAGTAATTCAAAGATTCACAAGGTTTTTGTTTAATGTAAATATGATGTTGTTCAATTAACATAGACATTATTGGTTGGCATACTTAACCATGAAAAAAAAACAAAAATAAACATTAATTGTATTTTGCAAAATAATAGTTTGCTGCAATTATGGATTAATGGAAGTAGGATGGTATCAAATCAAAACACACATAGTATGTTGATATATTTCACAGAAAACAACAAAGCAAAAAAATGAGTATGAACACTTATCATATAGAAGGCTGTAGAAAGGAAGAAGTATTGATAAACAATGAAATGTGTACCTTTTTGCCTTTGATTAACCAAGCTAACAATTGTTTACTGCTATAGAAGGTTGTAGAAAGGAAGAGGTATTGATTTAGTATCGTGAATATCAATATAAACGAAGATGTAAAAACATAGATAAACACAAAAAAACTCACCTTTTGCAGAGCGTAAGATATATATATTATATATATAATATATATATATATATATATATATATATATATATATATATATAATATATAATATATATGAATCGAAGTTGGTTTTGGAGGATTAAGATAAAAGTCATTTTTATCTTATCCCTTAAATGTTGAATTTCAAAATGTAGTTAGGATAGATAATGTGGAACATTTTAGGATTATTTTTTAAAATTTAAAATTTGGATAATGTTGATGGTTAGTTAAGTTCCCGTCTTTAGTGGCTGATTTTTCGATTTGAATATGGGAAGTAGTTATGATAGACGGAAATAAATAGTGAATTGTTTTGTTAGGATGACATCACCAGCAATATTAAGAACGATCTAAGGGTTGAAATCAATCAAAAAAATCCAATGAATGGTTCTGATTGTTGAAGGTGACATCATCAGGTTTCTGTTTTAATATATATATATAAAGATTGTGTGTGTGCGCATGTGTAAGCCATTTAAAAGTAATTATTTTTTTGCCGAACAAAAAAGTTTTCGTGTATAAGCTATTTTAAAAAAAATGTCGAACAAAAAGTTCATTATTAGACAAATATTCATGTTCAAATAGGAGAAATATCAACGGTTTAATATATTTTCTTGATGAACTTATGTTTATGAATTTATGTAATTGTTTCTAAAGTTGTCAAGATCGGGATCCTACATTGGATTCTTTTTGAGTTTGCAAGATCGGGATCCTAAGATCCCATTGAAAATGACATAATTAAAAGTTTAAAACATGAAAAATATATTTTCATCAATCACTTTACAGTTTACCGTTCTTAATAAGAAACATAATCGTTAAGGGTAAGAAGCATTATCAGTCAGTTTACAATTTAGAAAATAGTTATTGAATAAAGTTATTTTTGATTGACATGTTATGTGGGTAAGAAGACCAGGTCAATCAGTAAATAGGTACAGAAATGAAAATTCAGATTAAAATTTGTCAATTTTCATAGAATGGTAGGATCAGGGCCGGTCCTATGATTTTGAGGACCCTGTGCGGAAAAAAAATAGGCCCCTATATATATATATATATATATAAAAGAAAATTTTGTTAATAGAATGAAGGTAGATTAGGGTGAGATAAAAGAAGAAAAAAGAGAAGAAGAAAAGGAAAAAATGGAAACAAAGAAAATGTGGTTGCCAAGAATTGAACCTTGGTCTTTTACAAAAAAAAGTTAGAAAAAGCAACTCATTTGCCAGGCGAACTAAAAGTTTAATTTGCTTACTCTTGTGTCAAATAGTAATATATACATTAATTTATTATATATTAACAAATTAAAAATATAAATTGACTACCACTCGGGCCCTATTTTTTTTGGGGCCCTGTGCGGTTGCGCATCTTGCACACCCCTAGGGCCGGGCCTGGGTAGGATCGGATCGGATCGCGATCCTACGATCCCGTATGCGATGTTACATATAAAGCAATTTTATCATGATCCGACGTGATTTTCATAAATAGGATCTTAAGATCTTACGATTCTACGATCAGGATCGAGATCTTAACAACCTGTTGTTTTATTATGAATATGTGTTTATGTTATATGTCAATATTTATTTATTTATTAGAAATCAATAAAACAAATATTAAGAATACTTGATAAATTGTAAAACACATCACAAAATACACAATAGAGGACATGTTTTTTGTGACATTAATAATTAATTAAATTTTTTAGATTCCTTATTTTCCTCTACAATTGCCATCGGTTTTTTTTTAAGCTAATTGTTTGTTTTCTGTAGACCATTCAAAATAAACAAGGTTAGAGATGACAAAAATATAAACGTAAGGCCTAGTGAAGAGTAATTTGTTTCGCAAAGAAAAATTTACAAATCACATTATATATCTAAATTTTAAAGTTTTGTAGATTGTTTTGGTTCTTTTAATCATCTGATCATGTAACAAATACGTAAAACAACAAATCAAGAATGATGAGTACACTTGGGAGTGTATAGAAGTTATAAAAATAAAGCTTTACCAACTATATAAACGAATTTAGTGAGAAATATCACCATGGAAACCATATGTAAAAGCTTACCTAACCTAATGATTTATCACAAACACTCCAAACTTTATTTATATTGTAACAATGACAAAACTTTGCATATTATACAAAACTCATGTGTCAATAGTAATTAAGTACAGCTTCTGTCCATCTGTAATCATATTCACATCAAGAATCTTACCTACATCTTCTGTTACAATACAAAAACTGGTAGAAAGCTCCAACTTCAAATGCTCAGCTGCTGTTTTCATGAGTTCATCAACGGTGTCCGGGACCCACAACACAACTCCGTACTTGCTTTCATCTTTTAATTCCCATGGCTGAAACGCATATACTGTACATTTCTTTCGTGACATTTTATCTCTTGTTTCTTGAGAACATGAAGGAAATTCTGACATCTGAAAAGACTTTCTTTCTTCTAATAATTTCATTAATATTTTGTTTCCAGATAATGTCGCTTCATCAAGTGGAGTATTCCCCCATCTACACATTCACATCATAAATGTTGTTATACATTTGATAAATTTTAGTATTAACCCTAAATTAATAATTTCACAAAAATCCACCTGTCCTTCGATAAAACATTAGCCCCTGCTTCAACTAGCATCTTCGCTATTACATAAGATCCTTGTGACGTGGCAACATGAAGTGGAGTTCTAAAGTCGTAATCTTTTGAATTTGGGTCAACACCATTTGACAAAACCCTTCGGATAAAATCTATATCTCCTCTTGATACCGATGAACACAAGAAACTTCCAGCATCTTCTATTTTGAATGAAGCACCATGTTTCACTAATAACGAAGCAATCTTATCATGCCCATTCTTAATCGCTTCAAATAACGGCGTGTTCCCAAAATTATCTGCCATTTAGATAAAACATAAGGACTAGAATGTAAATTCAAAAAGTCGAAGGACTAAAATGTAATTTCCATAGTTTAAGTTTATTTACCGAAAACGTTGACTTCGACGCCTTGTTGAATTAGGAAAAGAGTTATATTTTCGTGCCCTTTTGATGCAGCGAGATGCTGTTCATGTTAAAATAACTTGTTATCAAATGTGTACGTATTTTTTATTATTTATGTTTTTATATGAAAATAAAATAAAATACCAATGGTGTTCTTCCATCATAATCTTTTTTATTTGGATCAGCTCCAGCTCGAATTAAACTTTTTAAATGAGATAAATCTCCGGAATAAGCTGAACTATTGACTCTTAATGCAAGTTCTGCTTCTTGCATTCCAATATGAATTTTGATATCTGTTACCATATCTTTCATGTGACTATCACCTTCTTTACCCTACAATTATTTTTTACTTTAAGTCATGGCATTCAATGTAAACAATTGATTAATTAGTATGATTAATTGATTAACTGATTACCTCTAGTAAATTGTTGAGAATTTTTCTTCCATCGTGAAAATATATGTCAAGGATATTGGAAAAAGATTGTTTATCAATTCTCAAAAGTCTAGAAAGGTCAACAACTCGAACTGTGTATAATTGGGCAATGTTGCATATAATTGAAACATCTCCAAAAGAGTCGTGAGGTTTTAGAATTGATACTATTTCTTCTGATCCATTTTCATGTATAACTACCTCTTCCTGTATTAAATTTCATTCATCATTTTTTATAAAAAAACAATAAAAAATTAAATCTATGTATATACCAGGTTTCCATGACAGACGAAATAAAGTTGATCAACAACAATCCCTTGTTCCATAATCACTTCTCCAGGAAGAAAAAACTCTTCATGCACTCGTGTTACAATATGATTGATGAATTCCAAAGAGCATTCCTTGAAAAGAGAAACCTTTTCAATGTATGACCTATACAGAGTTTCTGATATCTGCAAGAAATCATGACTTAATTTTTTAGTATAGAATATAACGAAGAAGTTAAGAAATTGGAATTTAGTTTTGTGTATACTTTAGCACGAATAGAAGTCGGAAGATCTTGAATAACAGCAGAATCAGTGTAGTTGCTATCGTATTGTAATCGCATATGATCTTTGATTTGATTACGTATATCTTTTCCTAATTTATTTCGATCCATATATTTAAGAAGATCCGCCATTCTATCTCTGTATCTTTCTGTGTTCGATCCTTTCACAATTAAAGCTGTCATGTTACCAATCAAATAAGCACCCAAAACCATGTCAAATGAGACATACACCATTACGAATATCATCTCCCTTAAATTCACCGCATGTATATCACCATAACCTGTAAAACCATTAATTAACTCCATGTTTACCTTTCACATTCAAAGTCAAAAGTCAAAACAATAATTAATTTTAATTACCGACTGTTGCCATGGTCACAATTGCAAAATATAAGGATGTGATATATCGCGTCCAAAGATCAATGTGTCTGAAGTTGGAGTAGCTATAGTCACCGAGTTTAAGGCTTCCAATCCACGTGTATTCTTCCTCATTAGGTGGAAGAGTTGTAGCTAAATAGTAGAATATGCAAGCTGCCGTTGTGTCAGTAGAGTCAACAGTAAAAAAACAATGAGTTTTAGAACCCTAGAAAACAGATACTTGACGCGTATGTCCTTTTCCAATTTGGAAAAGAAATCTAGAACCTTCCGGGCTCTCACTAGTCTAATCAGCAAAAGGTATCTCACTTCTTCTTTTTTCCCAAATGCCTGATTAACATAATTAAAACTTAAATCAATCGATTGAGTATATACTATATATATTCGTTATCGTCTTATTTGGGATTTGTATAAGAAATTTGGAGTGATATATACCGTGTAAATATTATCCCAGGGCATACATGCAAGTAAATCAAAGATGAAATGAGATTTTAAGTACCTGAATGGAAACATGTATAACATTTAATGGTGATTTTTTTTTTCTATTTTAAGAATAGTGTTTGGATTGGAGAAGAAACTGACCGAAGAGCTATTAGGTGTCGATTATAGACCAACTTGTGGGTCCGAGTGTCTCTGTAAGGAACAAAGAAGAGAAGGACAATGTCGATGAAGAAAGCTGTTTGACCAAATATGTCTAGTAAATAGAAGTGATTTGGTAATCCTCTGAAGAAGCCAAATTCCATGGGTGTGAAGAAAGAAGAGTAAATTGCCCATAGTAATATGAATTTCTCCCAAGTGCGATACCATCTGCATCGGCAAAGTCTTATAATTGCATGTTATTGTTTGATAACAGAAAGCAATGGAAATATTCCTTTTGTTTATTAAAAAAATAATTAAATACTCAATGGTTAAATAAGAAAAATATTGTTACTATACTATATTAGTATTAAGAATTGAGAATTCTAATAAATACGATTAAGGATGAAGAAACGAAAATTTAAAACAGTAAGAAAGTTGCTTTATTTTAGTTTATATTTGTATATGCCTAATTCCTATATGGAA